CTTTTTTATTCATTGTAATTATGGCAGTCGAAGACCAACTCTACTTTCTTTTTTTATTTCAGGTAGGTTTTTGTATCATTCCTACATTTGAAGGGTGATATCTTTATTATGATGGAGCTGATATTATTTTTCCTAGTATTTTCCTTCATTCCAACCGATTTTCTTCTTTATAACCGTTACAGGACTTGGCTTCATCACTGGGGATTCTAGTTCTAGGTTGTTTGGTGTAATGAGTCTCATGTTTCACTTCATTTTAACTGCTCCTCATGCCTTCCACTACTTGACTAAGCCTTGCTAGTTTGGCGTGCATCACCTCTACAAATAGTCTCATTTCAGCACGACCTTGATTTTCACTACACATTCTTAAGACTTGTCTTGCAAGAAAAAAAAGGTTAGTGAAAAGAAATAATCACTCCCTTATCATGTCTCTCGCGTTGCACTTATTTGGCTTTTACCCTTTAATGAGCTTACATACTCTTGCCTTTCATCGTTTACTCTTTAGCTTGCAAGTTGAGTGTTGAATAAGGTTCTTATGAATCAAGGTATTCAAGTATTATTTTAAAACACTACAAGGAGCCCTATGGAAAAAAATATCACACAAATACTAAAAGCTAGAGTTTTTAACACATAGATGAAAAGTAAGTGCATTACATATGTTATGCTAAATACGAGAATGCAAATTAAATGTTTAGATGCATCTTAGAGCTAGAGCTTTAAGAAAAAAAGAAACAAAAGGTGCAAAAAAACAACTATGGAGAATTATATGTAGATTTGGTTTTACCCTAAGGAGGAAAATCGAAGATGTCCCTAAATTTCTTATCCTGATATACACTAAACTCTATAATGAATATGAAGTCTTGTGCTAATGAGATGTGTAAGTATGGATGCATGTTGATTTTTGGGTGAAAGCAAAAAAAAAAAAGTTTGCTTTATGGTGATGCAGCCTTGCATCGTGATAAAGAAGGATAGTTGAGCATAAAAGTAAGTACTTTCGTGATTAGAATATTGAGTGATCAAGATTTCTTTCCTTTATTTCCTTTCTTTTTCTCTTTTTTTTTTAACTAAATAGGAAACGTAATCTTAAAAATGGAAAGATTTTTAAGTTATAGTGACGATAATGATGATGATGTTTATGCTCAAGGGAAAAGTAACAAACAAAGAAAGTTTCATGTTGTTGTTTCTTGCTTGGTCAATGTATGTATAGATATGTATTTTTTTTAATATGGACGATGATAACAATGCAAGAAAGTAAAGAATAAATGCAAATGATAGTAAGGTTTATATGAAAACTAAGCTATGATACCATATGATACAAAACTCAAGATCAACAATATAATCTAGAGCTCACATAATACTCTTAAAGCATCAAAGACTTAAATCCTAATAAACAAAATCTTAATAAACTCTACCTACTTAACTCACTATCAATAAATTGATAAGAACTAAGGTAATTGTGAAATTTAAAAGAATGAGAAAAATGCCACAAATATACTTTGATAAGTTGATCAAATTCCTTACTCAACGAGAAGGCTGAAGACATCTCACTAGTTGAAGATAACTTTATAATTTTGTTGTCCCAAACTTAAATGATTACACTTTTGAATTGAATGCCTATTTATAGAGTAGTCTATGTGCATTATAAGAAAATAAATCTTCTACATTAATTATAAAAATTACAAAGGAAAATAAATCTTACTTTGAATGAGAAAAAAATAAAAATTAAGAAGACTTTTACTAAAATAAATTAAATAGGATTTTCCTTTGTGGAAACTTTGTTAAATGAAAAAGATCTTAATTAATTGTAGAAGAATTAATGGAAGTAAATATGGTAAATTAAAACTGACTATTAAAAGAGTAAAGAGACCACCTATATCTTTTCTAAACCGTGGGGGATTTGGTTATTTAAAGAATGAGATTTGATTTCTTCTTCTTTTAAGATGTCACATTGTTTAAGAAGAAATCTTTCCTCTTTGCCTATGTTCCCTTTAAATGAGAAGATTTTCCATGGGATTAGGAAAAAGAATCCAATGGGAAGAAGATTTCTCCTTTATGGAAAAATCTTTTTTTTTTTTTTTTTTTTACTTATTTTCTTCTTCTCGTTAGATTGACTTGCATGGACCATTATACCCTTTAGTTAATGGACTTGTTTTCTTCCTCCCTTGGTCTCTTTACTTCATCCAAACTCATATTCCTCAAACATTCTTGAATAAAGGGTTGAAAGGCTTGTTGTAGACTTTTATTCTCCCTTTTGTAATGGGCCTACTTAGCATTGTAATGCTTTTCCCAAATGGCCCAAATCCATCCAAGATGTGTGGGTCTTAATTGGATCTTCCTTGACAGCTACTCTCCTCCTTGGTTTGGGGTTTGAAATGGTCCATGCTCTCCATGCTTACATCAATTTATTTAGATTTTCTTTTTAAATGATCAAAGGGAACTTACGAGAGGACCATTTGAGTTAAATTTGAAAAATATCAAACATGATCCTCATATGCTTTAGATTCGAATTGGTCGTTTTGAGTTGAAGGTGAGCCAAATAATAGGAAAACTGATAATTTGAATTTACATAGAGAGTTTTTGAAAATATAGTACAAATAACATCTTAAAATATAAAAGAAGACACATCTTAGTTAAATATAAAAAAATATCAAATATGATCTTTATACGTTTTCGATTCAAATTAGTTGTTTCGAGTTGAAGATGAGACAAATAATGGGAGAAGCAATGAGGAGTTAGAATTAAGGAAAAATGATTGATTGGATTGAGTTTTTGTTGACATTTTATCAATGTGGAGTCTATATAATTGTCATACCGGTAAAATTTTACGATATTTTTACTATGTCATCGTGACAAGGACTATACAATAAAATTATAAATAAAGTTAATAAAAATTTAAGATTAATGTATTTAAAAAGATTTAAAAAATACAATCTCTTTTACATATAAAAATATAATAACAAATACATTTAAATAAAATAAATATTATTTGTATGTTTGAACGGATATAAATATGAAAGGTACATTATAATACACAGATACAAGATAATTATTACTCTATCCAGAAAGCCAGAAAGCAAACAAAGGTGATTATCACAAATTACTGATGGCTGAATATATATTTACATATATTCTATATATGTATTTCAAGTATACACATGTTTGCATTTTTTGGTGAAATGTTTGGAAAATATTGCAATTAGATGGACTTATTTTTCATTTCCAGTAATCTGACTAGTAAAAAATGAGTCCCGAGCCTGAGTAACTGAGGTGCCAAATTGGCTAGGGAGACCCACAGCGTATCCAATGGACCTTCTAACATGATATAAGCCACTCAGCTCCTGCTACTAGTAGAACTAGCAGAGGAGGTGGCAGCATATAGCGAAGGCCCCTCGACCAGCCTCTTGATTCTCCCGATCGCCCTTCACTTCCATTTTCTCCATCCAGAGCACGTCATCACAGTCACTATCACCTTCATCATCAACTCTCTCTATATATATATTATTATTATTAATAAGAAGAAAATGCATTTTTATGTGAAGCCTCGTTGAAAAAAATTAAGCTACCGATTCAAGATCCAACTGGTCGAATTTGGTTTCAATTTGTTTACCTTGGGTTCCAGGCAGACAGAGGGGAAATAGAGAACGCATATTTTGTAGAAGATAGCTATGGCGCTTTCTGCTTCTGATTTGCCAGCTATGTACTCGCTGCTTTCCAATTCAATGAGCGGCGACGAGAGCATTCGTAAACCAGCCGAGACGGCGCTCTCTATGTCTGAAAGTCGACCCGGTTTCTGCTCTTGCCTCATGGTATTTCTGTCTTATCTGTAGAATCTTCCGTTCCTAGGGTTTCATTTTTATTTTATTCATTTTATATTGTGTGGAATCTCTGCTCAATGCCTGTTAATTTGCATGCATATGTACATGTACTTGTTACTAGTTTGTGCAGCGGCGCTTAGTCTTTATTCACGCAGGAAGTGATTACTTCAAAGGATTTGGTGTCTCATGTGGATGTTCGATTGTTGGCATCGGTGTATTTCAAGAACAGTATTAATCGCCATTGGAGGCACAGGCGCGATTCATCGTAAGAAATTTGTAAATCTCATACTGTATATATATATATATATATATATATATATATATATATTTTTTTTTTTTTCTGAATATGATGGGGGCAGAAATCTTATAGTGTATTCTATCAAAAAGAAATCCTACGGTGTGCTAAGCTGTGGGAGATACCTTAGAGGGGTCATCTTTGACCTTAGAGGCACCATTTAATGACTAAACTCTAAGGACCAGAGTTGACATGGATGAGACCAAAGTAGTGCAGTACCAATCTTGAGGCTACCAGATTACTATTCTTTTTTTTTTTTTGTGATATAAAGATAATATGTATTAAAGAGGCACCAAGGCGGTGCCACCCCTGTGCAGAAGGAAGCAAAATCATCCAGAAGAACTAAAAAATCAATACAGTTTCCATCCAGACTGGTTAGAATGACCTCTGAACAAAAAACATAAGGTCTGGAATCAATGGTTTGCTATTAGTTGTTGATATGTTTGAAACCAGATTTCACTACTAGGTTTTGATCACAGTGAATATGATGGAGATGATTGTTTTATTCTTTGGTTTTCCTGAATTAAAACCGATATCTCCTCCACAAAGAGGACTAACAAATATCAGGCTGAGGCCATTTGCTTGCGCTAATAACTTCTTTAAGCCATTTCTCTTACAAAAGGAATGTAGTATGGTGGTGCACAGGACCTACTATTGTTAGTTATTGTTGATAATTTAATATTGACATGTTTTCAGGGGAATAAGCAGCGAGGAGAAAATGCATCTGAGACGAAAATTATTATCTCATCTAAGAGAAGAAAATTTTCAGGTCTTATCAACTTCTTTGTTTTGTTTTTTTTTTCCAAATATTTTGTCTTATATTCAGGAGATACATATTTTCTTTTTTGGGATGGAAAAGAAAATATAATTGAAAGAAGAAAGGGGAAATACAAGCTAGAGGAGGGTAAGCTATCATTCAAAATGCAAAATAGAGAACATGCAAAAAGCAAACAAATCAAGGTGTTAATAGAATATAGCAACCCAATCCCTTAGACTTGTAGAAAGAGGAACTCCTTCGTTAGTCTAGGGAGAAGCTAAGGACATAATCCTATCCTAAATACCATAAATAGTAGAAGAATGTTGGTTGAAGTCCTTGCATTTATTTATAGCTAAAGCACCAAGTCAATCTCTCTCTAAATCTTGGAATGATCTATTATACATCAATCTTTTGAAGGAAGAAATAAGATAACATTTTTCTTCCAAAAAAAAGTAGTATTATATATGAAAGCGCTGAGGATGCAATTCGTTTACAAGTCTTTACATATTTATCAAAATATCAATCAAGTTTCCTAGTATCCTTAAAATATCATCCTTTTATCAAAACACATAGTGCTTGGAGCCAAACATCCTTGCTTCTACCAAAAGAAAAATCTATGCCTTCAAAAGATTTTTTCTTTCTTTCCAAATAACCATAAGATGATCAAAGGAATAAGGCTTACATTTTTTTTGATAAAAGAAAAAATATTATTAAGAGTAAAAAAGAATCAAATACAAGAATGGTGGGTAAGGTCTCTTCCTCAAGTAAATTAAAAACACAAGAGAGAAGCAATTACATGATTGTAATAACATGCACGCTATAGATAATATGTTCTTAATTCTGGTGAAGTGCGGTGTCCAATATGGGGGAAATGTCCAAGTGCCTTAACCCACAATGTTGCTATGAAGGTAGTCCTATCCCAAAGCTCATTAACAGAAGTAGTATGATTTTGGAAGATTCTCTGTTTTCTTGTTAGCCAAATGCACCAAAGACCATCAAAAATTGCCCCTTGCCACAATGGTTGAGCTTCATCTCTCATCCCTTCCCCATTTATATTGGTGGAAAAAAAACTTCACCACCCAAACCATGCCTTACAGTCTAAACAGTTTTATCCATAAACTCCAGTTTAAGTTGCAATGTAGGAAAAGCTGGGAGTGGGTCTCACTAGTTCTAAAGTACATTATGTAGATGTCTGGATAGAAGACACGATGAGAGTGATGGAGTTGAAGCATCTCATTTATGTTGAGCCTCTGATGGATGGCTGTTCAAGAAAAGACTCAAATCTTTAGAAGCTTTTTAAAAAACCTTTGCAATGTGGAAAGGAAAGTCATTAACTTTTTCTAAAAGGTGATTGAACAAGGACTTGCAAGTAAACATACCCGATGTTTCAAGGATCCATGATCTACTGTTAGACTATGGTGAAAAGTGAATGGATTCCAAAGTAGTTTATAGGGATGACATATCCGAAGACTCACGATCAAAAAGGTTATTTATTGTGCGTAAAGTGAAAATTCCAGGGTGCTCTCCCCTCTGTTTCGTGGGTTGGACACGTGAGTATTGTGTTTGGCTAAAAGATTGTATAATCTAGGACATTTGTTACCTAAAGGTTGATCCCCTACCCATATATCCTCCTAAAACATGACTCTATTTCCTTCTCCTTCATGGAAAGGAGTAAGTGAGGCAAAGATGGAGTGGGGCTTGGCAAATAGATTTCCAAGAACTTAGGTGAGCTGCAGATCTCCTTGCTAAGGCACCCTACCTATTCCGTTCACTCCATAGACGTTGGTTATAACCCTATGCCACAAAGAAATTGGTTCACATGGAAAACACCACAACCATTTAGCCAATAAAGATAGGTTCTTTGATTTCAGATTCCCTATATCCTAATTTACTAAATTAATTTGCGATAATCGGATACCTTCATGGACTTATCCTTTTTGGGCATTGAGGTAAAAATGGAGTTCATACTATTGCAAATCTTCTCATAAGATAGAACTCCTCAAACACTTTTACCATATCCCATTTAGTTATGTGCCAACACTCCTTAAAGAACTCTATCACGAAACCATCAGGTCTAAGGGCCTTATCATCACATAAACTCCAAATAGGCCCCTTTATTTCATCCTCTTCAAAAGGTCTTTCAATTTGCTCCCTCTTTTCGTCCCTAATAGGTACCAATCAACTATTTCTAACAATGGCCTATGGTCCTCTTTTTCCTTGTACAGTTTCATGTAATATTGAGTTAGCTCCCGCCCTATGGCATTTGTTTTCCTTTCCACAATCCCATTCTCTAAATCGCTTTTATAGCACTTTCCCTCCTTTGGCCATTGGCAACTCTATGGAACATTCAAGTGTTTGCATCCCCATCCTTCAACCATTTAATTTTCATTTCTGATGCCAACATCTCTCTTCTAGCATCCTAACCTTCTCCAGCCCATTTATTTTCTCTAAAGGGCACTCTTCCTGACTCTCGGAAATGGTACCCTCTACTATCATCCTATCTAACTCTCTCATCTTAGTAAGAAGTTATGTCTTTTGCAATCTCACATCTCCCAAGACTTCCTTTTCTATTTTCCCTTCAAGTGTCTCAATCTCTACATACATTTGTAGCCCTTCCAACCTTCGTTTGTCCTACGTTGCCACTCCTCTCTTAATAACCTAATGAAATCAGGGTATTAAATCCACACATTCTCAAATTTGAACAGAGTATCATCTGATCCACTAGGATTTAACTAAAAATGGGAAGCTCTGACAATGAATGTGGAAGAACTTCCTACACTAAATTAGGAAAGCTATGCTCCCAGTGGGTAGAGATTAGAAGTCAATCTAGGTGCGAAGAGATTACTTCTTTTCTGTTCACTGAACATCACTGAACAAGTAAATTGGGTGTTGTCTAAAGGAATATCTCAAATTTCAATCCTCTATAAAGCTATTAAAGTTCTGCATCAAAATAGTCATCCTTTTGTCTTCTAATTTTCCATGAAGTCATCTTCATGCATTGAGATCCCCTCCAAGACACTGAAAAGGTGTGCATAGCCTTGAAAGCTATGATGATTCCTCCTAAAGAGAGGACTGTTGTCTATACGTAGTGGGTACATGAATATTCATAATCTACCAACATCCTTTTGTGACAGCAAGAAATAATGAATATGAGTGAACTCTCTCAACAATATCAACTCTAGTAGCCACCCTGGAATTCCATATTATCAAAATGCCACTCAAATCCCCTTATGCGACAAGGAACACCTAATCTTTAAATCTACTATCTCAAAGGCTCCTAACTAAGATACCATCTTTTTGTTCTTTTTTAGTCTCTTATAATATTACAATATCTGGGTTTGCTCTCATTGTCACTTCTTTGATTTGCTTCCGCTTCCTTACATTTCCTAGACCGTTAACATTCCAGGTCATTTTCATGGATTACCTAACCTCCCATTTTCTTCTCAAACTTCCCTTAATTACCTTGGTATGGTATTCTTCTATGATCTTTTGTACACGTTTTTTCCTACGAATATATGTCTGCAGGGATACTATTACTCTCATCTCTTCTCTTGTGGCAGCTTATTCACGAGATCTGTTAGGTTATCCTGATCAGAGTTAATCATCATTAACGTAATGGCTATAACACTTTTCGTCATTTCCTTGCTCTCAGTTGTCAAAGTTTGATAAACCGTATCGTGTTCGTTCCGGGAATAGGGAAAGGATGCCTTTGCCTAATAGGTCCGCATCTCCACTAGTCCCTGCACCGCATGTAAGGGTATTAATGGGAAAAGAATTCAAAAGTTGAATTGGAGTCCCTTCCACATTTCCTGAATATCTCTTGTGTAGCCTTTTGTTGGACAATCTTCTCTAGCTCCTCCTCATCTTTCTCTTCCACCTCAATTTCTTCTAACAGCAGTTCGTCATCTGAATAATCTTCATCAGAATTGACCTAAGATTCTGTCTTGGCTTCTGTTCATGTTGACCCTTTATTGGCTGGCTAAGGAGCACTAGGATGACATCCATCTCCTCTTGAGAGCTTCATGTCGGCCACTCCCCTTTCCTCACATTCCCAGGTTTTCCTGAAATACACTAATGACGTAACGTGCTGGAGGGTCAATTTTGTATGGGTCGGCCTCTATGATGGACTTTCGACGAAGCTCCCGTCGCCTGGTCATGATGGCCTGTCGACTTGAGGTTTTTCGGCTTTGTCGAAGTTAGTTCTTCCTTTTGTTTTGGACTGAAGGTCCTCGGCAGGCATCTGAAGACTGGCCGAGTTAGGCGTCTGTTTAGGCACCCATATGATGTTTTGGCCTTGTCGAGGTGGACCAATGGCCAACTGGCGCTGGCAGCGCTACTGGCGTTCCTTCCATTCATTGTTCCTCTAGGGTTTCTTGTTTTGAGCTGCCAAACTTGAGTTTGGCGCGTGAAAGAATGGTTGGGCTGCCAATGAGGGAGCCTACTCTACCACCTGGATAGCCTTTCCCTCTTTCTGCCTGGGTTCTAAAGTCGGGCCTTCTTCATCCAGCCTTTGGAAGATGCTGGGCTGTTCTAATGCTGTATCCGGCGTGCATTTGAGCCTTTCAAAAGGTGGCCCATTTTGCCTTATGTTCACGGGGTGTAAAATCTGCCTTGTATCTGTCCATTTAAGAGAATATGTTTAAAAAATATTTGTTGGTTTCAACTTTTCTTATTCTTCCACCAAGCTCTCCTATACTTGTGGAAGTCAACAGTAATAATTGAAGAGTATCTTTCCATAAAATATTTATCCTCCGTAACTGCCTCTTTGACAAATCTCTCCATCCCATTATCCCACACAAGATTTCCAGGCTGAATTCCTGCATTTATGAAAAACAAAATTCCCTCCTATTTGCTGATGCGTCCTCTACGCACCAAGACCTGAGTATGGCAGAATCAGCCACCATAGTGGTAGAGGGTTTCTAGCTAGCGTCATTTTTAGTGACTGGTTTCTGCATGCCTTTATCTCTTGATCCAAATCTGTCCAGGGCTTCAAGTATGGTTTGCCAACTCATCATTTGGTACCCTTCTGGGATGCATACATGACCCCTCATCTGATTTCCAACATAATTCGCAATAGGCAAGAATCTCCCTGAATTATTCATTTATTGCTCTATTAATATATATCCATAAGGCATCCGAGTGATCGGAGAACGCCTGCTTTATTTGTCCAACACATCCTGGACCCAGATCTGCACGTTTTGAATCCATTTATAATCAAGATGAATGCTGAAGCATTGATATTGTAGCTGTTCTGAGATGCTCAATCTTCCCCAGCTTAGATTCTGCCACCCTGCTGTAAACCGCTTCCTTTCAATGTCGAACATAAATGGCTTTCCATCCGTTAATACTCACTCAACTTAATTTGAAGTCACAATGCTTCCTATCCAAATCTCTTTTTTAACTGACCCAACCGTTACTCAATTTATCCCTATGAGACTATATGCCACATACCAAGGACGAGAAGCCAAAAGGCACCATAAGAGAAGATGGTTTCCAGTCACCTCATCATTCTTGCAGAAGTAGCACTTGTTCACCATAACCAGTCCTCTCTGTAAGAGATTCTCTAAAGTTAACTTTCAAACTCCTGTTGCTTTGCACATTAGAAAAAGCTTTTGAGTAAAGTAATGATTTTCCGAATTCAATTACGTGGGAAATTCTCCTTTTGATGTTGTCGTTATTGGACAGGTAGAGATAATAGGATTTTTCCCAAAGAACTATTTTTTAACTAAGATAATTTAAACAAAGCACATAGGGATTGACGTGGTAGGGTATGGGGAGGATCGAATCAACTCCTATAACCCACCATATTTATGCAATATTGAAACTTAACCGTTTAGAAAACCTCTCCCTCTACTTGAATTTATAACACCTAATAAGGTATGCATAAACAAGAACTAGAGAATTAAAAATAAAGAAAAACGCAACGAACTTATCGATAAGTTGATTTCTATTCCTTGGCTCCACAAGATTTCTGAAGACTCCTGCTTCTTGAATAACTTGAAAAAGTTAAAAAATTAGCAAGTTGCTAATCGAAGAAAAAGCCTAAACTTTAATTTTATTCTCAATTCAAGTGTTTTTATATAGGTTTTTCTTGGTATAGTTCTAAATGGTTATAAACACTTGAAAAATAATAAAATATTAATCTATCCTAATCTAGAATTCAGATAAATAATTAAATAATCATAAGCGATGGATTTATATTAAAATAATAATAAATAAATTAATAAATAATTGCAAAATTAGCTTATGTGAATTTTTGGATAAAAGGACATGGAAAGCCACATGGCAGTAGCTGGATCGTGGGTCGCTCCAAGCGGGAGACACGGGTCGTGTCATGGGCCTGCGTGGGTCGGCCCGGTTTTGGTACTCGGGTTGCTGCATGGGTCAGCTCAAAATGGACATGCGGGTCGCGTGTGTAGGCTGTCCGGGTCGCGCGGCTGTGCTGCCAACGCGTATTGGACCTGTGGGCTTGCTGCGTGCAGGTCTGCTGGGCTTGGGGATGGGCAGGCTGGGCTGTTGCGTGCGTGCTGGGCACGGACTGGGCGTCTGGCCTGCTGGGTGGCATGTGTGCAGTGTGCGGCTTGCTGTAAGCTCACGCGTGCTGCATGCGTACGGAGTTGTCCGTCTGCATGGTTGGCGTGCTGTTTCATGCGGGCGATGGCTCGGCATATGTGGGTGAGCTTCCAACACATGTGGTGGTTCGCACATGTGCCGAAGGCAGGTCACATGCATGACACATGCTGTCCGCCATTCTCCTCAAGGCTGATTGGCCTCTCTTGGGCCTTCTCTTGGGCCGAATGCTGCCTTGGCCAAAAAGATCTTGAATCCGTCTCTTTTCGGACTAAAGGTTGATCTTCCATCCCTCTTGGCAATTCTTCAAGCCCACAGGGTTCTCTCATGGGCCTCAAGCCCATTCTTTTGTCTTGCCTTGGATCTCCAGGCCCAGTTGGATCTAGTTTGGACATTTCTTTGGGCAACTTTTGGGCACAAGCCTTTCCCCTTCTTGACCCATACTTAGTCACAAGGTTTGGACCTCTTTGGGTGCTCATTGGGTCGAGTACTTGGCCCTATGCAGAAGAGTTTTGAGTTCTTCTCTCTTGGTTACTAAGATTGAATCTCAAGTCCCTCTTTAGATGAATTTAGGACCTGAGCCGTTACTGGACTCCTTAAACAAAAAGAAAGAGGTAACCTATCTCACAATCCATTAAAGAAAAAGTGACATCCTTAAAAACTCTCGGTTTCTCTTCCTCCAAATAGACCACAAGATAAAGGGATCATGTATATTTCCTTCGTTGTTCTCTTATCAACTCCGGTACTTTGCTAAGCCTAGAACTTTTCTAAAGCAACCAACACCAATCTAACTCAAGTTGAGGAAATGGAAAGTTAGACACTAGAGGCGGTAAGAAAGAAGACACCAAAATAGCATACGATCAGGAGTCTTAGCTGCCTCCTTATGTAAATGACAACTGTTTGCTAGGAGCTTCTCCATCTAGATCACTATAGTTAAAATAACATGACAACTGTTTGCTAGGAGCTTCTCCATCTTTGAATTGTAATACATCTATTCCATGTTATTTTAACTATATGTGATCTATCTATTGTAGTTCATGATCTTTTGTGTATTTTCTGTATAATAATGAATCTTGCTTCATATTGTGTGTATTTTATTTGAATTTTAGTAGTTTGCTTGCTAATTTCATTTGCTTTCCTTGTCTTTTTCAATACAGATAGCTGAGATGTTGGCTGTGCTCATTTCCAAAATTGCTCGCATTGATTATCCTAGAGAATGGTATGTCTTTTTAATTTGTTGCTTCACTGTATAGTTACATCCAATAGGATTGTATATATTGCTTTGACTTTAATCTAATGTTAAAAAATATTTGAATTTAACAAACAATATTTTTTTCATATAATTTATAATGACAAGAAGTACGAATCAAAAAGTTCTCTTTACTCAATTTTACTTTAAAACGGCTTCTGCTGAAAGTCATTCTAATTTCAACCTACTCGAGAAGATTACGTTGCTAGTCTTGGGTTTTAGCATATTAAATAGAAAGATTTGACAAGGGTTAGGTTCTTTGTATCTCATTTTAGGGAATATTACTATTGAATCCTCACTGGAAGTTCTGAATCCTCCCATTCAAAACCTCCTTGTTCCTTTTACCCAGTTGACCCAAAAGATGGAGAAAGGACCAATGAATTGATTCTCATACTTTAGTTGTAGCAGTTTGAGTCCAAAACACTAGTGCAACAACCATCTGGACCAATCACTAGTAATCAAATGTTCAAGCTTAATTATTAATAATGAGTGAGTTGTCTTTCCAAGGAACCCAGTAATTGTGTCTCTGTGATGTGGGATTGACGTTTCATAATGAGGTGCTATTATATTGTTTATAACTAATTGTGTATGAAATTAGTTATTAACAGTTAATAATGAACTTTTATATAAAATTCAAGAATTATATATTTCTCTAATGTGAGATTGAGCAATTATATAAGTGGCTTCTATTGCTCTTTTATGATTGAACTAACAACTATGGGCTTGATGTGGTTTTGGATGGAGTATGGATCAAAACATGCTTTGGCATTGCCTGCTTTTGCTGGATTATGCTCATTTTGTTCAAGAAAAATGCAAAATGTTTTAGGCAAAAATATCAGTCATTTGATGACATTTGGAAAAGGATGGTGTTTTTGGCTTCTCTTTGGGCTAAAATCCATGATTTCCTTAAGGAAATTTCTTTTTCCATTTCACGGAAGTTTTGGCTTGCTATCTTGTATCAATAATGCATTTGCTTTCTTTCTTTTTCTTTTGGAGGATAGCTTATACTCCTTTAGTTTATGTACTTTTCCCTTCTAATGGTATTCCTTTTATAAAAAAAAAAAGGACAATTATTTTAACTTAGTTAAGCATATTGCTATATCCCAAAGCTTCAAGGTTCATGTACACCACAATTGGAGACATCCAAGAGTCTCCTCCATTCTTTTGCATGAAATCTCTCATTGGTTCTCCCCCCACCTCCCCCCTCTCTCTATAGTTAAATACTTTCCCAAGTAGCTTCGAAGGAAAGCAAGCTATCTTTATTTGACATTTTCTCCTTT